TAGCAGTAGGAGTAGTAGTAGTAGTTGTCCTCTCAGCGGGTGACAGGAAACTGGCTTGCGTAGAGGCTCTTAAGCGGCAAAACCCCAAAACTCTGCGAAAGAGAGTCATCAGTAGTTCTCACGTCAGCCAAAGCGCAGTGTTTGCTGCCAGCAGCGTTTCTTTGGTGCTGAGGCGGCTGCGTTGGAGCAGACCTCGAGAACATCGTGACACCGAAGAAACTCATCCTCAAACCCTACAACCTAAGCCAACAACCCCAAATCCTACATCGACCACTATGTCCTCAACCCTAGCCGCAACACAAAACCCTAAAACACCCACCAACCTACAACCTGAGCTCGGAATCTCAAGACCCCAACACCCTACGTATCAGTCACGTTAGGGCATTTCCAGGACATCCCGCGAAACCTTCAAGGGGCTTCACAAAAGAAAGGACAGCCTCCTGCGACACCTGACTTTTGGAGGTTTCAGTCTTGTGTGTCAGAGTTTAGACTGTTTGTTGGTTAAACTTCTTAACGTTTAGAGCTCAGACCTTCAAAGTCACAGTAAACCATGCAACCCTCGAACGCTAAACCCGCTGCACGAACAAACTGGTCGGAACAAGGACTTTCCGTTCTGGTCACTGCAGCCAGAAATACAATCTTCAATGCTGAGACCCTGACATTCACACCAAAGAAATGAGCCCCAAAGTGCACAGATTGGGCCCTTCAGCACAAGCCCTATATAACCTCCCCACGTAATCGCATGAACGCCCATGCACTCTCATATAACCTTTGGCTTGCTATGGCCGTGAGCGCGTGTCTGCGCTTTGGCGCCAGCCCCGAAAAAGGGCTCCCGCATGAGCTTTACACATAACTTCGACCCCATATACAGGAACTGCATACTACTTCTCCTACCTCGGCTGAGAATTTCATCCCCGGCCCCGAACGCAGAGCCGAAGACCATTGACACTTCTGTTCTCGGTTGGGTGAAGGCCTCACGCACCATACCCAGCTGGAGCTTGTGCTGGATTTCACTTGGGAGTTGGGGCTCTTTGGCCTTGCTTGAAACGTCTTGGATAGTGTTTCCAGATTCCAGATTAGTATATAACCTTTTCATCCCTTCACGAAACCTCAGCAAAAACCTTGGGCTTCAAAGCCCCCTGTGCGGATGTCAGTGGCAAGATCAACCGCTGCCCGCAGCCGCGGGAGCGCATCGAAGATCGCCAATGCACAGGGCCACTCCTGCCATAGAGGCAGGAATCGTATAAGACTCTTATAGGGTCCTTCCTGGGTTGCAAAAGGGCTCTAAGTTTAATCATCTTTAAGCCATCGGGCTTCTATGTTCAGGGCTTGGAGGTGCGGCTTAAGCTAAACGCTGTGGAGTTCTGGCTTTGGGGCATCAAAGCTTGCAGCTTAAGGTTTGGAGCTCGGAGTTTGCCGCGTGGGGTTTTCGTTCTGAGTAGGGGGTTAAGGGCCTGGGATCACAAAGTTATGGACTCAGGGGGTGCTGGGGAGTCGTGGGCTGTGGATTGACCCTGGGATGCTTTGAAGCCCCGGGCAGTCCCCCTAATAATCTTACACGCTTCACCCTATCCCTGTAAGCCCAAACCCTGAACCTTTGACCGGGGAACGTTTCTGATAACTCGTACGATTACGAAGCCCCAGATCAATGTTTGAATCCTGCATGGTCCCTACTTATTAAGTGTAAAGTATCCACAACTATCTAAAAACGACAACGAGACTTGCACAACATTCCTTTCTCGTCAGTACTAGGAGCCCTCGGGATCTATCGCCAACGGATATGTTATCCAAAACCCCAGAACACCACCCATATCAATAACTCTATCTATCTATCTATCTATCTATCTATCCATCTATATATATGTATATGGTAGGAGTGTTTTTTTTGCTGTTGCTG